ATGAGCGGCAGCAAATCATGGAACGTTCCGGAAAAAACATGAAGCAGACACTACGCGATAACATTGCTCGTTTTATGGAAAACGCCGGCGGACGTGAAGTGATCATCACTGTTACTGCACGACTTGTCAAAAGTGATCAACCAGGTCCAATTATCCCTTGCACCGGCAAAAACGGGGAATTACTAAAACTCCGCTTGGCTCGGCAGTTCAAAGTGCACTCGTTTGTGGGTTCCAGTGAGAGTTACGAAAACCAGATTCATACACGAGTACCAGATTTCTTTGTTTTTGTGAAATTTCGGAGTACAGACACAGGCTTACCAATTTTTCCCCAGCATCTAGTTTCTTGCCTAGCATCACAAATTTCTATAATTCTAGCTCCCCAAAATCTTTTCTTTTTTCACTTCCCCCCTCTAAGAAAGGTCTCAGCTCATCCCATTTTAAATTCCAGCGCCCTCTCCATTATTATGAAACCCTGCAACCTGAGCCAACACTCTCTTCCTTTTTTTTTGCTTTAGACTGCAATCCGAAAGGTCATGTTACAATCATAAAATTTTTACCCTCTCCCTCTGCTGTTCCCGCACAATCCAGCTGGACCGATCCGAGTTTTAGTAGCACACGAAAATTATCCGTTTGAAGAAATCTATAATCTCATCTTTCAGCGATTGATAAAAAAAGAAGCCAAGCAACGAAAGAATTCAAAACGGTACTTTAGTTAATTTATTGCATTTAAATGCTATTGTTGTGATCATCAAAAATCCGAGTGGTCTGTAATTTATTGGGTAAATTCTAGCGCCAGTGGAAAACTTATTATTCGATATTATTATTTGATATGCCAGTCAAACTGTGGCTGGAGCTCAAATTTGGCGGAAGAGAGTATATGATATGACAAAACCGCAACAAATCTTCCGAGTAAGGAGAAATCGAGACTTCGCAAACAATAATGCCCTTGGTCTCAGGTCCAAAGCACTATACAAGCCATTTTGAGAACAGGGTATAGTTTCTTAGAAAGCTGAACCAACCCTATTTTTTGCATCACTGGCAGAGCGCAAAACGCTGTGCAGAATTAAAAAAAAAAAAAAAATAAATAGCCGTGCGCAACAGAACCTGTAGTTCATGCATTTGTGCAGTTGGGATGTCTGCTGTTAAGAATGTTCAATGTCGCACATGGATGCATGCTTTCACTGCTCTTCACAACATTTCAACTTTCTATCTTATTTGGTTCCCACTGAAATTTCTGACAGGAAGGTTATTCGTCTTCGCTTTTAATAGAGAAGACAAAGAGAAAAGAGTTTCCTGCGACAAATTTCTCGTGCCTACAAGTAAGACGGTAAGTCCCACATCATACAAATTCTTAAAATTTTTTTGATTTTTTTTGAAATACAGGAGATGAAAGTTCGGCCATCATCGCGGACGCATGTAGCGTCTTCAGGACAAGTTGGTTCGTCGTTCAACGAATCACCTGGAACTCCAGATAAGACAGTGGATTCCTTCATTGTTAGTATCCACTGATCGTTTTTTTCAACCTTCAGAAGTGTCAAACGTTCATGAAAATCATATTATTTTTTCAAAAATTTCGAGGTTTTTCACGAGTATTCACGAAATAGAAAATAGCGCGCACAAACGTTTTTTTTACGAGCAAAGCGTGCCAGTTTCTTTAAATAACTGCTAGACCAGTGTCACCTGTGCTCTAAAGTATTACTGTGCATCACATAACAACTGATTTTTGCAGGATTGGTACGGAAAAGGCCCGAATCGCTATCGTTATGGGAGGGAGTGAACGAAGCGCAGTTGCTAGAGAGATAAACGGAAGCAGAATCGATAAATTTCATCCAATTTCAGTGTTTAGAAGGTTTAGAGCCATTCTTTTTTGCACGGTAAATGCGAGCAAATAAAAAATAATCTTGCATTGCTGTTTGAAATTTCTGGTGCAAGAAACCGATAGAAAATCACAAAATCACAGTAGCAGAGCTATAGCGCTGCACAGCACTGTAGCGCTGCTACAACCGGCAAAAACGCATGTTGTCGAGAGGCTGTCTGTGCGTGTATGTGTGTGTTTGCGTGTGTTTGTGTGCGTGTGTGTATGTGCGTGGAAGCGAGTGCAATTTGTCACTCACTTCCCTCTCAACAACCAGGAAAGCTGGGAGGCTGAAATTTTGGGTATGTTCTTATCTCTTTGTGTCACCCTCCCTTTTTACGATCTTTCCCCACACGCGCCTAGACCCCGCGTACGGACCTCCCAAAAAAATATGCAAATTTCTTTGGCGGGAACCGATTTCGCGAACCAGGCGAGATACAGAGCTGAAACTTTGTAGACATTCTCTGTGCAAGTGCGGTGTTCAGGCTTTGATACTTTTCATCTTCCTCTTTCGAAGGTCAGACACTGAAGAAAGCAGAAATTTTACTGTTGGCATGTCTTGTGCGCCACTGAAAGCGTGAAATTAATTTTCATAAGTGCCTAATTTTCACTTATGGATATAGTAAATTTGAGACTGTGTAGACAACACCTCCGAGCAAAATTCATGGTATTCGTTAGGATTTCACGCAACCCTGCGACGCAACATATTTGCCCCAATTGACGCTCCTTTCCTCTTTGTGCAAGAAGAGAATAAAACTTTTACCAATACGAGTGTACATATGTTAAACACTGAAGCAAAAACCATTTCTCTTACTATCCGACTATTTCAAACGCAGCGCAAAAAAAGCATTTATCGGGCGCTTGTTACGCCTGCCACCTGGGTTATTTTGCAAAAGACATACGTAAGTAGACGTAGGTACGGCAATATTTAGTGCTGATGCGACACTGACAAATGCTTCTTGATAACCTCACTGTAATATTTCCCATCGCAGTACCGTTCTCCCAGCTTTCCACTCCATAACACAGAAACAGAGGTCATCTAGCCTTTTAATATAATTTTACATATATTCTTTCGTTATATTATATATATATTTCTTTATATTTCATACACATATATTTTTAATGTATATCAGAATTAACATCTCTTATTTTACATCTGCATTAGAACAAAAATCGAGAGGTAACCTAATTAGCATAAAGCGGAGGATAGCACTAGGGACTGTGCCGCGTCGGAATTAATAGGAGTGTTTGTGCTCGGGATTTTTTCGGAATTCTCATGTGTCCTCCCGTAATTCGGTGGCAGAAGTATACTATGAGAGTTATGCTCCTCACAGCAGTAGATGAAGCTTATCGTCTGCTTCTCTACATGCTCAAACCACTTTTCGAGTTGTGTTTGGAATACCACGATACATTAAAAATGCTAATTCATTCAAAAAAGATTTATCCGTCGGTGTGTGTCCCTCGCCTAAATTTGCTTTTGCCTCTTACCACAGTAGTCAGGCTATGCTCCTTCCAATGCTGAATCAATATGATAAAAGTAACTTTCCCCTGGCACTGGTTTTGCTGTATATAAAAGGTTTACCTCCCTCCCGATTTTTAGTGAAAGGCCAATCTGAAAGGCCTTCGTTACATTTTACGTCCATGAATGGAGGCGCTGGAAGAGCGGCGTGCTACTGGAGTGGAGGGGACGAAAAAGCGTCTCATGCTTTCGCCAACAAGTATACGAATC